CAGACAGACGATCGGAAGGGGAGCTGTGGCTACCCATATTATGCAATTGTGCGGGGGATCGCGCGCGTGTGTGTGTGTGTGTGTGTGCTCCGCCTTTGGCTTTGATTTATGTCGGTTTTGATTTTGATTTGAGCTTTATTGACCATGACGGGTGCCTCGCATTGCATAAGAATTGGGGAGGATATATCATGGGAAACCTTGGATTTGAAGGAGAGAAAAGCATACATTTAGTAGCAGAAATTTCCACTAAGAGCTTTCCCTTTCTTCCTGTTTTGATAACCTCCCCTTTCTGTTTAGTAGTTTCTTTCTCTTCCTGTTAAAACTTCCTTTTTAGATACGAATTTTACATTTTTTTAATCCTAATTTCCTTCCCCATTCCTGCACCCACTTGTAGAGAGACTTTTCTTTGACCCATTCCCAACACAATTGTTTTTCTTTTTTTGGCTAATTGAAAATTCCTTTTCCCAGCTTTTTTTCAATGGAATTCCAGCCACACATTTATGTAGCTCCAATCAAAAAAAAAAAACGCAGCCACTGGAGCCACGAGCCAACTGAAAGTAAAAAAAAAACAACAACAAAAAAGATTAGTTTGCAAATCGAAAAGCGATCCCCTTCGATCGATGCTGCAGCAGCTCCTTTTGCCTTACCCTGATTTACGACAATTGTTTTGTCACGTTGTCGATTGAAAAAAAGTGAAGAAAAAGAAGAGAAATAGAGTAGAAATAGAGGGGGTAAGAGAGGCGAAAAAGATTCAAAATAGAGGGGTATAAAGAGGTGCTATACCGAGTGCTATATAAAGTGGTTAGAGAGGGGCTTTCAGCGGGGGCTGCTGCACAAAATGTCAATTGCCCAAAATGGTTAAACATATTTCCAATAAGTGGTTTGGCGTTTGTCTCTGTCAATTGTTGGTAGTAGCTGCTACCGCTGTTGCCGCCGCTGCTGCTGCTACCTCTGTTGCTGCTGCTGCTGCTGCTGCAGTTACAGTTGCTGCTGGGGCTCCTCCCGGGGGCGTAGACGACACGCATTCAATGTCCAAAGTCGTAAACTAGAGTTCCATTTTCAAAAAAAGAAATACAAAAAAAAACTGATCGAAGCAATCAAGCCCCAGAGCCAGTAAAAGGAAAGGCAGGCAGTGCCCGGGAAGATTGAGATGATCTCAGTAGTTGAAAAGAAACAACAAAATTTGTCAGCTGCCGGACAATGTCGCCGGACCATAACGAGATGTAAGAGACGAGATGGAGTTCCCAGAAGCCAACAGATCCAGATCCCCCAAGGTGCTGGCTGCAATCTCCTTTTTTAATTGTACACCGAAACCCCCCCCCCCAAGCAGAGCTTAAAGCTAAGGCAATGGGAATGAGACAATGAATGGTGAAGAAACTTGAGTTATGTTTGGATTTGTAGGGGATTATAGACGGGGACGGGCAAGTAATTTGTGTAGGGCTCTGCAGATATATTTATTTCAAAGTTAGGGAAACTCTGAAAGAAAGTGAACAAAAAATACTTCTCCTTCCTCAAGTGTGTCCTTTCTTCGCAATGGCCACAAAGGGGTTAACTTTGAGTTGGGGGCAGCTGCAACAATGGGTTAAGTTTGTGAGTTAAGCACTGGCTGGTTCGCCTGTTCTGCTGCTGCAAGTGAGGCGTAAACAATCATGTTGCATGTCGCATTGCCACCGAACGAAAGGATGTCTTTGTTTTGAACCAACTAAATGGTCCAAAAATGGTCAAGACAAGACAACTGCAAACCAATGGAAAAGCCTTAAAGATAAGCAGGGGAAGCACGGGAGAGAAGAAGAAAAGCCCCACAGCAGAAAAAGTGAAGGTGGCGCAATTTAGGCTTTTTGGCTTTGGCTTTTGTCTGGAAGATTAACTAAGACCCAAGACCAAGGCCCAGAGACAGTTACGACCATAATCGCAATGACAATTTACTGTGGCCATATTGCGGGAGTGAACGGACGGACAGACAGACAGACGGACAGTCGAGGAAATGCTCCACTTTATGGCAGTCATAATTTCCATGCTTTGCAATTCGATTCGATTTTGAGGCGATTCGATTGGGTTTTTAGGATTTTTGCCTCCTCGTTGTCCGATTCTATCCGCGCGTCCGAGTCCAAGTCCGAGAGTTGTGTCCATTGTGTTTTTTGTTTGTTGCAGAGGCAATCTCTCCCTCGACCATCGAACAGATTTGCATAACAATTGGTGGCTGCATGGCTATAACCTTTCGCCCAATAAGTTAGCCAAAAGACTGGACCTGGGGTACCATATGGTCTCTGGTCTGGTCTGGTCGCCCAGCAGTTCAGTTGTTAAATGCCGCTAAATGTTGAATGCTGGACTGCTGGTTGCTGCTTGCTGCTTGCTGGTTGGCAGTGGTCGCGCTGGGCGGCAATAAAACATTTACCGAATTAGTTGGAGTGTAAAATCCACTTGAAATTCAGTTACGATTGCAGGAGACTGCCTGCCGTTTCGTTTCGTTTAGTTTAGTTTCTTCGTTTCAGTTATAGTTCAACTTTCGCGTTAAATGAACCTTTAAATAAACTTTCCATTTTATATATTTGCCATCATTCAACGAGGCTACGGCATTTTCCAAAGGTAGCATCGATTGCACTTTTCCAAGGAAACTGCAGTTCGATTGAAAATTTAATTGAATGAGAAACGTTTTGGCTGAGCTTTTGAATGAAAAAGCTACTGAAACAGGCGTGGAAAATGTCTATAAATATGCGTAGAAAACTGTTTTAGAAACTAACTAATCCGAAGGTCTTTTTAGAATACTTCTTGGAATTAAAATTAAAGTTAAATTAAATACAAAAATTTAAGCTCTATATTGAGTAGAATTTGCCATTGGTCACAGTCAAATAATTTATGGTATTTTTTTTTGTAGAGTTGAAATGTGTTTATCGAGCTATAGAAATATCAATGTCACAACTCTCGGACTTCTATTGCAACCAAAATGGAACTCTCAATCCAATATTTGACAACCTCTCCATCATAGACAGTACAAACAAAGCCACTGGCACTTCAATCTTACATGTTAAATCCTTACTTCCAGCCGACACTTCTAGCAAATCACAAAATCCGCCTTTAATCTGCTCATATCTCGTCTCTCTCGAACAATCGAATCTCCAAAAAAAAAACCTTTCTCCTACTCTTTCGATCGATTCACGCCCAAAAAACCATAAGAGAATTGAGGAGAAAAGAAAGAGCGATAGAGGAGGGAAGGAGGTAGGGGCCTCTCTACTCTCAAGTTCAATTGAGTTTCACTTTTTGTTCACTCTTCTCCGATGATTATAAAATGTTCGTGATTTAAATTAACAATTAAAGCGGATAATTAACAAAATGAAAACAAAGGCAACGAAAAGGCAACACCCCCTAAAACGAAAAAGAAAAAAAAACAAAAAAAGAAAAAACAGAAAACCGAAAGCCAAACGAAAAAAAAATATTATTATAGGCCATAGAGTGGATGTAATTTATCACAAAAAAAAAAAACAGAAAAACAGACAAATCTGTTGTCAGAGTCTCTGTTAGAGTCTCGGATGAAGTCATTACCACAGACCAATTCCACATGGAAACCTCAACAAAGGAGACTCAGACCCCTTGCATGATGTGGAAGCGGATCAAATGATTTCGTCATTAAACAGACAAACGGAATTACACACCTTTCTGACAACCTATCTCTGTCTCTTTCTCTTAATAGAGCAATAAAATTGCCGAAACTTTTAATCGAGAGATCTCTCGAAAATTTATATAGAAATAATAGTTGAGGAAAAGCATGGAAATGAAACCGAATTCAAAGCTAAAAACCAAATAAAATGTAGATGAAAAACCTTCAGTAGAAGAAATCGATTTAACAATAAATCTTTTTGGCAATAGGAAAAAAAAAAACAGAAACAAAAACCCAAAGGCAACCAAAATCACACCACAAAAATGAAGTTTTACTTTCGAACACAATTTATTTTGATTTCAAAGTATTTTTCTTTGAGTCGTTTTTCTAGCCGCAGCCCCAGAGCCGCAGAGCTCCAGACCCGAATAAAAAAACAATGAAAAATTCATGTACAAACCATTCATTCAGGTTCAATCATTAACACCAGTAGATCGAACGGGGCGCGAACGCTACTGAATCGGTGAATCGTTGAATCGCTGAAACGGGGGAAAAGGGAAAGGCATACAAGGCTTTTGAGCCAAGAGTCGAGGAGTCGGTTTTGAAGGCTTTGTCGCCACTTTAATTGGCTCAAATTAAAGACGATCCAGCGGGGAGAATGAACATCGTGATGATGATGCCAGTTGGCAGAGGCAGTGGGGCTGAGGCGTAACTTTATTTCGCTGATTAATGAAGAAATTTCCTAGCCCGCCGTCACAGTATTCGTCTTCTCCCCATATTTTGTATTTTGCCACCTTGTTAGCGGCACCACACTACTCATTTATGTGTGACTTTTTGTTTTGTTTTGCTGTTGTTTTTGTTGCAAATAACAAAATGACTTTGTGGCAAATTAAATTTAACAAAATGTCCCATAAAATGATGCGAGAGATGATGGAAACTTCGCATGCACTTTTGACATTCGCGGGTTATTAAATGTGTGAAAAAAACTATGGAGGAGATTGTATATTTGGAAAGTGATTTTCCCTCATTTCAATTTGATTTTGAATCCTACAAAAAAGAGAAGATTTTGCAGAGGATTTCATTAGCTTTATTTCAGATGAGAACTTTATTCGAAGTTCAGAGAAAGGGGCTAAAAAAATTAAATGCAAAGGAATTTACATGTATGTTATGTGTGAAGAATATTTTCAGGCAAACGAAAATCTCAAATAGAAATTAATGGCTTATGGGGAGGAAAACTTCAAGAGATTCACTTGAAGAGTGTAATAGGTGATTAGTGGAATCTTTACAGCTTTGAAGATTTTTTCTTTAGCTAAGAAATTAGTTTCTGTAGCTTTCAGATGCAGATCTTTGAGAAGATGCACAAAAAATAAAGCAGTTTCTTGGTTTTATGTTAATTGTAGATCATTTATTCATTTCAAATCGAAAGTACTTTTTAACGGTGGTAGATCTGATGGCCATAAGCAGGGACTCCATAGGAAGGCACTCCATGGGAATGAGCATACGATGGAGCATAGACTGAGGCCTGATGGACCACTGGGGAGTAGGACTTCAGCACAGGAACATGCTGCACCACGGACACATGCTTCACGACTGGGACATGCTGCACGACTGGGACATGGCTGATGACAGGCACTTGCTTGACGACGGGCACCACCTTAACCACAGGTGCAACAGCCACTCCGTAGTGGGAGTGGGCGGGTTCCAGATATCCCGGAGAAGGAGCTGCCGAAGCAATGGCTACCAGAGCAAAGATGAGAGCACACTGACAGCAGGAGAGGAATCAAATGTTAATCGATAAACCAAAGGATTGCTCCTCTAAGATACTTACAATGCGGAACATGTTGACGAATTGGTTATGGAATTTTAAGTTCTTGTAACTTGTGTGGAAGTCGAATAACTGTTGATGTTTGACCATCAGTTTAGAGTCTTTATATAGTAGAAATATCGCTTGAACAAAATAATCATAGGCGCCACGCGACAAACAAGTTTGTCCAATCACAAAAGTGTTTAAATCTGTTGTTTCCTTCCGTTTCGTTGAGCTTTGATCTGTTTTCCCCCTCCCCAAAGGTGATCTTCAACATACACTTTCCTTTGTCATGCCATTTAGGCATAATCCCCTTCCAATATCACGTCCCAATTGTCTGTGTGCGGAGTCTTTCAATAGTTATGGAAAAGGTATTGTCATTTTATAGATCGTCGGCTGTTCGAAGACGATGCTGGCCATCGAGAACCAAGGCCATGAAGACGATGGGGCGCCTACAATTTGTGAATACACCTTCAGATTGATCGACAGATAAATCTATTCGCACAATTAAACTACAGAATTAAGATACAAAATACAATTAAACTGGTTTGTGCGTGCAGCCAGAAGTCATATTTCTGGCCATATATAATCTTCGACTTGTGGCTAAATCAACAACAGTCATCAGACCTCTACAGAAGTAACAGCAGCTCCTCCGATCTTGAATTTTAAATTCCCACATCTTCAACATGTTCCGCATTGTAAGTATCTTAAGGGAGCAATCCTTTGGTTTATCGACTAACATTTGATTCCTCTCCTGCTGTCAGTGTGCTCTCATCTTTGCTCTGGTGGCCATTGCTTCGGCAGCTCCTTCTCCGGGATATCTGGAACCCTCCCACTCCCACTACGGAGTGGCTGTTGCACCTGTGGTTAAGGTGGTGCCCGCCGTCGTTAAGCAAGTGCCTGTCATCAGCCATGTCCCAGTCGTGCAGCATGATCCAGTCGTGAAGCATGTGTCCGTGGTGCAGCATGTTCCTGTGCTGAAGTCCTACTCCCCAGTGGTCCATCAGGCCTCAGTCTATGCTCCATCGTATGCTCATTCCCATGGAGTGCCTTCCTATGGAGTCCCTGCTTATGGCCATCAGATCTACCACCGTTAAAAAGTACTTTCGATTCGAAATGAATAAATGATCTACAATTAACATAAAACCAAGAAACTGCTTTATTTTTTGTGCATCTCCTCAAAGATCTGCATCTGAAAGCTACAGAAATTAATTTCTTAGCTAAAGAAAAAATCTTCAAAGCTGTAAAGATTCCACTAATCACCTATTACACTCTTCAAGGGAATCTCTTGAAGTTTACCTCCCCATAAGCCATTAATTTCTATTTGAGATTTTCGTTTGCCTGAAAATATTCTTCACACATAACATAAATGCAAAAATATCTGGCACACAAATGTGTTTTCTTGTAGCTCTAGCTCTTTGCTTTTGGGGAATGATAAAAGCCAAATGTGCCTGGCCGCTCCAGGCACCCAGCGGATGGAAAGATACATAAAACGTCAAAGATACAGATGCAACTGTTGGAAGAGGCATGGAATGGCATTTGGCAAAATCTGTTCAGAAAATGGACGCTTTGCAAGTGATTGAAAGTGATTAATGAGGGGAAGCAAAATACATACACATATTCAAAAGGAAGGAGTACGTTGAGTGCACTCTATGTGGCGTATCTATAAGATACATTTTAAACGGTAGTTAAAAATCTTCTGACCAACACGCAAAGAAGGAAAAAGAGTCGGAATCTCTGGCAAAGTGAAATGTCTGCCGTTGGCATTGAAAACAAAAAAAAAAACTATAAAATGAAAATCTCTTTTGCGCCCCCCTGCCTACCCTCTGCTGCAATTTCCCAACGTTTTGCCCCCCTGGATTTTCACTGGCTGCTGTTGCTGCTGCTGCTGCTGACCCACATTTTGGCAGACAGAAAAATTTATTTGCCTTGGCTTTGGGCTCTAAAGAATTGTTAACAACAATTTAGTAGCTCTTCCACATCCACACTCTCTTCTCTCTCTCTGTCTCTCTCGTCTGCTAAGTGTATTTTATTGTTTGCCAATTGCTGTTTCTGTTGCTGTTGCTGTTGTTGTCTTGTTAACGCTTTTTATAGCCCGCTTTTTGCTTTTCGGCCAACTCTATTTGTCGAGAGTCTTTCTCTCTGGCTATAGGCTATAGGCTACAGGCTGCTGCTGCTGCTGCTGCCTCTGTGTCTGTGTCTCTCTATGCAGATGTATCTTTCAGATACATTCATTAACTTGTTTGCAGTTACAGTTGCAATGTGCCCCTCCCCTCCTCCAATCTCTTCTGCTCCCCCCACCACGCCTCCTTCTCTTGCTAGGTGATTTATGCTTTGTCCAGCTTTTGTTTGTTGTATATTTAGACATTTCCTATATGTTGTCACCTCAATTTTTCTTTGCTTTTTGTTTTTCTTTTTCTCTCTTATTTTTTTTCACTTTATGTTGCTTTTTCTAATTTTTTTGTACGCTTTTTTGTAATGCCCCGTGCACTTGCTCAACTTTTCTGTGGATTGTGTTTGATATACCCTGTGCATTAGAGGGAATTATGATTGGGAGATGATGTTTGTTGCATTGAGATGGCTGCACATTTGATCTGATGGCAATGAGTGACGTGCTATATTCTTTAGTTCTTAGTTAGGTAGAAAGACAAGTCGTTGAGTAAAACGTTATAGAGTGCACTTAAATATGATTTTTAGAATATAGAACAAATTTATCAATGATACAGTATCATATAGGAACCATCTGCTGTAATTCTCTTTGTGGGTAAAACTTTAAACTAGCTTTAGCTTCAGCAGTTTCTTTCTTTCAGCAGTTAATTTTCTCTTAGTTGAAATTTTTCCCTTTAATAAGACATGCGCGGTCTTTCAGCAGCACCCCTCGGCTGCGACCTTCGCCTAGGTGTCTGATTGTCCCGCACTGAATCTCCTAGGGTATCCATTGCTTCGGCTAGCAATTATATTTTTCCTTCTGTTCATTTTTTTGGGTTAATTAAAAAACACAGAGGCAATTGTGCAGTTATGACTGGAGACTGGAGAGTGGACGCGGAAGAGAGTGTGGGGGGGGGCAAGCATTTTGAATGTGTGAACATGGAAGATAAACCCACTCTTCCACTCACTCACTTCCCTGCTTCCCTGCCCCTCCCATTCTCTGTGAACACCGAACATCATTTCGTTATGAACTATGAATATGCATTGGCGCTTGATGAGGATGGCTATGGCTCCAAAGAAGAAGTGGAAGGCGTGTCCCAGCAATTAGTTTGAAGCCCAGGCCCTTCGATGATGCCTGCAGGGGCATTTTGGCACGTTGTCAGAATGGACAGAGACGTAGAGAGAGAGAGAGAGAGAGAGAGAGGGAGAGGGAGAGGGAGTGGGCGGAGAAGTGGAACTTCTATCAGGGTATGGCATGGCAAAGGTGGAAAACTTGTTTTCTCCACACCCCAATGAGGGAAAACAGGGCCCTCTAACTTGGACATGGAAGAAGCTACGTGACTAGCGAAGATCCTTTTGCCATCTATTGGAACTTTCGGCTCTCTCTCTCTGATCAGCTTTTCTCTTCTTTAGTCTCTCTCTCTCTCTCTCTGATCAGCTTTTCTCTTCTTTAGTCTCTCTCTCTCTCTCTCTCTCTCTCTCTCTCTGTGGTGCTCGTGTTTTGTTTTAACAATCTAGAATATGTGTATTGGCCAAGTTTAGAGACGGCTGCCGCCACTCCATTTGGTTCTTTGTCATCCATCTGCCTGTTGCGGCTTACAAATAAGGGAAAAACTAGTCAGCCTCTGCCACAGCACCACAGCACCACAGTTTACCCCTCCCTCCCCCGAACACTGGCTTCTTGGAAAATGCAGAGGCCAACGAAAAGAATCTCTTCTATTTCCCTGGGAAATATCTGTGGCATTTGAGAGTGCGCTGAAGATTCTTCCTGCTCTCGTTTCCATCGGAGAGTCGTTGTATCTTTTTATGGCACTTTGTGATCTACTTTGTGGAGCCTCACTTTTCGAGGAGGAGACGTCTCTAGTCTCGGTGTCTTTTGAGGCACGCGTGCTAAGACCATGCCACACCACACCACACCACAAATCGATGCAGGAAATCCGATTTGTGGTAAAAGTTTTTTCTCTTTCTTTGTGGCACTCCACTCCACAGCACTCCCCCTCTCTCTTATTCTCTCTACTGCTTTTCCTCATTTAACTTTTGCTTTACTTTAGTAAGCTGTCGTTTAAAGTTGTTTGAACTAAGCGGAAAAATATGTGCAAAACGCTTCGCTTGTGTGGCTTCTAGGAAATCAAAGACCTCCATTGTAGGAAGTGGCAGGCAGCAGGCAGCAGCAGCAGCAGTGGCGAGGCTCCTCTGTGGCTAGGGCCACAAGGGTTGCCGTTGGGGTTAATCGTTGCTAAATGCCACATGAGAGGTCAGTGGCTTACCATGGGACTATAGACTGGGGATATTTGAGATGGTTTGGCCTAAGAACTAATGGAGTGATGAGAAATGTTGTTGCGGTGCGAAAATTAATGGACAAAAGTTTACAGACAAAGGAGAGAAATGCCAGTATAAGTTTTCTAAAAAATACCCTAGAATGATTAATTCCAGTGCAAGGCGAGAGAGTTTAAATATGAATAATAAAATAAATCTTTGAGGAAAAAAAAAGAAAATTCTTTAAGCACTTTTACTTGAATTATTTATCTTAATTATCTTCAAGTTATTCTATTTTTCTGATCAATGGATATTTCTTTCTATCAACAATGAGATCTTTTTGGAGATCATTCATCAGTAGGATGTTTAAACTCGGTTCTCTTTTCTCCTATATATGTATATCTCTCTTCTGCTCTGTATAAGTTCTGTCATCTCTCCTGTAGATTTGTCTTCCTTCTCATGCTCTTTTTTCTCTTTTGCAGATTTCTCAACCATCATCTTAGGCTTTCATTTATCCCATAGATCATTGTACATCCCCTCTTTCTCCTTTCGAACTGCAATCATCATTAAAGCCAAAAGCCAAAAGAGCCTCCTCCTTCGACAATCTGATCGATTTATGCAAATGATACTCT